ACCACTGATTCTTTTAAGTGTAATATCTTATATAATAGTTTGTGTATTTATGTATTGTGGCTGTTTCCTTCTATAGATTGGTTGGATTTATGTGACTTATTTCACTTATTTAATTTATTTATTCTGTCTTGTGTTTTTGTGTTTCTGTGTTTGTGTGTTATAGCAGTCATTACGTAAGCAATTTCCTGCGGGATCAATAAAGTTTTCTAAGTCTAAGTCTAAGTCTTAGTCTAAAGTTTTGTTTTGTGTTTACTTCATAGTTAAAGTTGTTGCACGTCCGCCGGTTCCTGCCTCGAAATGAGCGAGTTTGAGCCATTTGTACATCCCGGAAGTGTTCAGGAAAAGCAAAACAGCAGCGAAGAAACTCGACACAGAGGAACATTTACACCTCACTGCCAACTATCGTTTCGGAAGTGTTAATGCAGACCAACAGAGACAGCGCGCAGAAGTATAAATGCACAGCTACGGGCGTTGCATGCACCTAGGGTTACGCCGGTCACTTGACGCAGAAGTATAAACCAGTGACCAGTCTTTCATGGAATGGAAGACTAGTGATGACTGTTAGAGACTAGTGATGACCGTAAGACTAGTGATGACTGTTAGAGACTATTGATGACTGTGAGACTAGTGATGACTGTTAGAGACTATTGATGACTATAAGACTAGTGATGACTGTTAGAGACTATTGATGACTATAAGACTAGTGATGACTGTTAGAGACTAGTGATGACTGTTAGAGACTAGTGATGTCTGTGAGACTAGTGATGACTGTTAGAGACTAGTGATGACTGTTAGAGACTATTGATGACTACAAGACTAGTGATGACTGTTAGAGACTTGATGACTATAAGACTAGTGATGACTGTTAGAGACTATTGATGACTATAAGACTAGTGATGACTGTTAGAGACTATCGATGACTAAGACTAGTGATGACTGTTAGAGACTATTGATGACTATAAGACTAGTGATGACTGTTAGAGACTAGTGATGTCTGTTAGAGACTATTGATGACTACAAGACTAGTGATGACTGTTAGAGACTTGATGACTATAAGACTAGTGATGACTGTTAGAGACTTGATGACTATAAGACTAGTGATGACTGTTAGAGACTATTGATGACTATAAGACTAGTGATGACTGTTAGAGACTTGATGACTATAAGACTAGTGATGACTGTTAGAGACTATTGATGACTGTTAGAGACTATTGATGACTGTGAGACTAGTGATGAGTGATGACTGTTAGAGACTATTGATGACTGTTAGAGACTATTGATGACTGTGAGACTAGTGATGAGTGATGACTGTTAGAGACTATTGATGACTATAAGACTAGTGATGACTGTTAGAGACTATTGATGACTACAAGACTAGTGATGACTGTTAGAGACTTGATGACTATAAGACTAGTGATGACTGTTAGAGACTTGATGACTATAAGACGTGATGACTGTTAGAGACTATTGATGACTATAAGACTAGTGATGACTGTTAGAGACTATTGATGACTATAAGACTAGTGATGACTGTTAGAGACTATTGATGACTGTTAGAGACTATTGATGACTGTGAGACTAGTGATGAGTGATGACTGTTAGAGACTATTGATGACTATAAGACTAGTGATGACTGTTAGAGACTATTGATGACTACAAGACTAGTGATGACTGTTAGAGACTTGATGACTATAAGACTAGTGATGACTGTTAGAGACTATTGATGACTATAAGACTAGTGATGACTGTTAGAGACTATTGATGACTATAAGACTAGTGATGACTGTTAGAGACTATTGATGACTGTTAGAGACTATTGATGACTGTGAGACTAGTGATGAGTGATGACTGTTAGAGACTATTGATGACTACAAGACTAATGATGACTGTTAGAGACTTGATGACTATAAGACTAGTGATGACTGTTAGAGACTATTGATGACTATAAGACTAGTGATGACTGTTAGAGACTTTTGATGACTGTGAGACTAGTGATGAGTGATGACTGTTAGAGACTATTAATGACTATAAGACTAGTGATGATTTTTAGAGACTTGATGACTATAAGACTAGTGATGACTGTTAGAGACTATTGATGACTATAAGACTAGTGATGACTATAAGACTAGTGATGACTGTTAGAGACTATTGATGACTGTTAGAGACTAGTGATGACTGTGAGACTAGTGATGACTGTTAAAGACTGTTGATGACTGTTAGAGACTAGTGATGACTGTTAGACTATTGATGACTGAGACTAGTGATGACTGTTAGAGACTAGTAATGACTGTTAGAGACTAGTGATGACTGTTAGAGACTTGTGATGACTGTTAGAGACTAGTGATGGCTGTTAGAGACTAGTGATGACTGTTAGTGAGTGATGACTGTTAGAGACTATTGATGACTGTTAGAGACTATTGATGACTATAAGACTAGTGATGACTGTGAGACTAGTGATGACTGTTAGAGACTTGTGATGACTGTTAAAGACTGTTGATGACTGTTAGAGACTAGTGATGACTGTTAGACTATTGATGACTGAGACTAGTGATGACTGTTAGAGACTAGTAATGACTGTTAGAGACTAGTGATGACTGTTAGAGACTTGTGATGACTGTTAGAGACTAGTGATGGCTGTTAGAGACTAGTGATGACTGTTAGAGAGTGATGACTGTTAGAGACTATTGATGACTGTTAGACTATTGATGACTGAGACTAGTGATGACTGTTAGAGACTAGTAATGACTGTTAGAGACTAGTGATGACTGTTAGACTATTGATGACTGAGACTAGTGATGACTGTTAGAGACTAGTAATGACTGTTAGAGACTAGTGATGACTGTTAGAGACTAGTGATGACTGTTAGAGACTAGTGATGGCTGTTAGAGACTAGTGATGACTGTTAGAGAGTGATGACTGTTAGAGACTATTGATGACTGTTATCAGTGATGAGTGTGAAAGATTTTATAGTGATGACTGTTAGGGAGTAGTTATGACTAGTTGACTAGTTCTTTGAAAAATAAAGTTTTTTATTATTATTATTACTGAAGTGCCTTGGTTATTTTGTTCTACTGGCATTGCCAAAATTTCCTTCTAATTTTGAACAAAGAGATTTCATATCTCCAATAAAATTTAGCATGTTTTCCCTGCGTTCGTGTGGGTTTCCTCTGTGCTCTGGTTTCCCCCACAGTCCAAAGACATGTGGTAGAGCTGAATTGGGTAAACTAATATTGTCCATAGTGTATGAGTGTAAATGAGTGTGTGTGGATGTTTCCCAGAGATGGGTTGCGGCTGGAAGGGCATCCGCTGCGTCAAACAAGCTGAATAAGTTGGAGGTTTATTCCGCTGTGGCGACCCCGGATCAATAAAGTGACTAAGCTGAAAAGAAAATGATTGAATAAATAAATTTAAAAATATATAAAATATTTATCACTATATACAGTTGAAGTCAAAATGAGTAGCCCCCCTGTTTATTTTTTTTCCCTAATTTGTTGTACAGAGAGATTTTTGTCAACACATTTTCAAACATAATAGTTTAAATAACTAATTTCTAATAACTGATTTATTTTATCTTTGCTGTGATGACTAAATAATATTTGACTAGATATTTTTCAAGACACTTCTAAACAGCTTAAAATGCTTTAAAGGCTTAACAAGGTTAATTAGGTTAACTAGGCAGGTTAGGGTAATTAGGCAAGTTATTGTATAAAGATGGTTTGTTCTGTAGACTATCAAAAAAAAATAACATCTTAAAGAAGCTAATAATATTGATCTTAAAATGTTTACTAAAAAATTAAAAACTGCTTTTATTCTAGCCAAAATAAAACAAATAAGAATTTCTCCAAAACAAAAATATATAATTAGACATATTGTGAAAATGTATTTGCTCTGTTAAACATAACTTATATATATATATATATATAAACAAATAAAAGAGAGCCTAATAATTAATTCTGACTTCAACTGTATTTATGCTAATTTTGATCAATTTATTTAGTACTATTACAATTTTCAATCGCTGGTATTGGGCTGAAATTATTTTTACTTGCCTAACCACAAGCAAATTAATGACTGGAGAACTTGATCTGAACATTCCTAACTGTAATAGATAAAGACATTAAACCTCAAGGAAATTTCTTTAAGATTTCAATGTATAGATGTTCATGAATAAAACAGACCACACTGACCAAATCAGTACGAAGTATAGAACCAAGTGTATTTTTCCCTCTGTCAATGTACACATATTTAGATTTCATCTCACAGTAACACTTTACAATTACATTAAGAACGGGAATATACTTTGACCAGCATAGGTAAATGACAATTATATCTTAAAAGAACAAACAAAACAAAAACACAAACGAAAAAAAGCCCTGTCGATGATATAACAAAAGAACTCAAATATAAAATGGAGGTATGGCTAGGTGTTACGCTTCATTCTTTTTTTTTTATACCAAATTCAATAAAATCCCAAAACATCCCTCCCCCCACCCCCAGAATTTCACCTTTGAAAATCACTTCGTGGAACTGAAGTAATATATCTGTAGTGAATAACATTTTTTTTTTTCAATTGAAGAGAAAGGACTAAACAAAATCTTTTTTGTAATAACAAGGAATGTCAATTCAGGAAAACCATATTTTTCAAATGTGAGAAATATCTAGACAGTATACTGTGTTGTTGATTTTTTTTCTTCCTTTTTCCTCCTTTCCAGGAGGTGTCCTTTGATACAAAAGTCCGGACACAAGGTTTGTGCTGCTTTATCCATTAAAGTCTTGTCAGTTTGCTCTCATACGCTTTCCTTTAAGGTTTGGGAGGTGGTGAGCTGGCATCCTGATGAGAACGAGTTCCTTTTTTGTCCGCCCAAAAGAGACGCCACACAGTTCTCAAAATATGATTTCGCCTCCGTTCTCCTTATCCTGTTTGTTTCACTGTCTGCAGTCTCATTTGGATGGGTATTGGGCTGTAGTTTCACACCATAGAGAATATAGGAGGCAAGAGAAAGAGTTCATGTAGTCTTGCGTATATCTTTCTCATGCCGGAGGACAAACGAGGACAAACACTCACACACACACGCACAATCGCACGCGCACATACGTACCGTCTGCACGATACACACAAACCTGTCTCCTGAAGAGTCTTCAGCAATGTCCTGTATTTACATAGATACAACATCTTTTGTCCAAGCTGATGCTCAGTTCAGGACAGTCCCGCTTTCTGAGGTCTGCGTCGTGCTTGTCCATGGTGCTATGTATCCTTCCGGGTGAGATGAAAGTTATCAACTTTATGTATTTCATATCAAAAACCTCTCATGAAAAGTTGAATGTGAATACATCATGCATGGAACACAATTAGTAGCCTAACAGATCACAATGTTTCGGCACCATGAAGAGAGAGAGAGCGAAAGATAGAGATACCTTTTTAAAGTTCTAACAACCTTCTGAATACTGGTGGAGGTGTGGATGTTAAAGCACCCTTCGCTGTCTGATCTGCGATTCTAACGTGTTTATGAAACCATGGCAGCAACACAACAAAGAAAGAATTAGATTCATGTGTTTTCATGACAGGGACAGATAAATCCCACTTTCTACACCTGACAAAAGAAATATCCGAGTGGAAATGAAGTCAGTTATTTCGGCTCTATCACCGAACAAAACAGAAGATGCGATTTTATCCTCTGCCTTTCTCACTGTATTTTTTTTCTCTCCCTCCAAAAAAGGTGTCAGATTTAACATCTCCACAAGAACTGATGGGAGCATCTGCTTGTCTTGTGCAAATAACAAACACAATTGCTTCTGTTGTTCATGAATTATTACAAGGAGGGCCAGCGAATGTCTGCTACGAGATCTCAATTTCATAGCTCTATAAACATAATATTAACTGAACGTTCAAGAATAGTACTAAAAGCTCATGTTTGGCGGGTTTTCTCTCTCTCTGTCCATGGTGTTTCGTTTCTCTCCTGTGGACCACGCGAAACATAAATCTTTAATCGTAAAGAGGGCATTACATCACCTGGAATGTAATGGAAGATTTTCTTTAGACATGATAAGAGATAAAATTACATACAACGATGGCTTCGCAAGACAGCAACGAAAGGAGGATCTATCCGTCAAGTCTATCCGTCCGTGTCTTTCGGTGGCAGAAAAAACGTTTGGAGAAGTAAACAGAAGATCGTGTGGCTTAAATGTTTAGAGGAGGTCAAATCCTCATCAGTACCTTCTCCTCTGTCTTTCTCAGACGTAATACTCCTTGTCTTTGTTCTTCTTGCCCTTGGTGGTGGTTTTAGCCACGGCGGCAGTCGTACTCGGCGTTTTCTCCTTCACTACGGCACCGTTGCTTTCAGAGCCGGAGTTGCGGCTTTGATCCACCTGATAAGAGCCTTCGTCTCGATTGCGGTATTTATACATGGCGTATAGGAGGATGAGGATGCAGAGGGCGGCAGCCGCCACGATGCCAACCACCATGCCTGTGGTGCTGCTGGACTCTCGAATCACCTCCACGGCACCTGGACGGCCCTTCTCCATCAGGTCGGTGGGATGAGCTGTGGGCACATGGGGGAAATCAGGCGGGTAGGTTAGACCTGGAGTGTGGCGCGAGGACGGGACGGGTGGCAGGAGCACCTGGTCGCGGGTGTTCATTTTGCCCGCTGGGATGTGGAGCTGGTTAGGATGGGTGGTCGGGGCAGGGACTGGAGGACGGTGGTCACCGTGGCCACTTTTGCCTACACCAGGGGGCGGTGGCAGGACCGTCCTGTCTGTGACCATGGGGGAGTTTCTGTTAAAGTCCTCGTCATCGGACTCCGTCATTTCTCCGGAGCCGAAGGCCGACACCTCCATGGGGTCACCGCAGTCCTCCTGGTCTGGAGGGCATGGCGGACGGGGGTCGGAAAGAATGAGGGACTCTTTGGTGGTCTGAAGGGGGGTTAGGGAGGTGGGAGGGGCGGGGATTGCGGGGTAACGGGTGGCCATGGAAATAGGGTCTTGGGTGTCCACTGTTATTATGGGCAACACAAGTTCACCTCCTAGGAGGAGAGAGGAGAAAGGGACGAGAGGAAGAAGAATTAGCGAGGGCTTGAGAAGGTCTACAAGTACACACATACATACACACACTATTTCAACTACTGTTCTGTTCAATTTATTTTACTACACATTAGAATTTACCATAAAACAGTTTCTAAACCTATGGCATGTCTAGAAGACTACAATAACATCTACAACAGAACCAACTCTTGAATAGCTCTTGGCTCTTCTTTGGTTAAACAAGATAGCAAACCATGGAGTTTGGGTCACTTACATCAACAAATAGGCCGCATGATTTTTGCATGGAAAAAAAGCAAATTACAAAAACAAAAGTGTGTAAGATGGTCCCTTTAAAAACACAACTTTTTCCTCCTCTGACACACTCATCTGTGCTCTAGTCTTTCAGCTGACTTTTAAAAACACAAATACAATCCTATGCATATGTGCATTCACTGATAACTGAGTTAAATGCTGTGTCTCAAAACCTAGTTAGCCTAGCTGCCCTAATGCTGACAATCTTAGTAAATGTCATTACAAACAAAATGGAAGCTTGTAGGTTGTTTTGACTGATTTGAGACGTTCTTTAAAGGCCGAAATTTCATAAAAAAACAAAAAGATGGTGACAACTGACACTAGCATGAGGTTAAGCTAAGAAGTTGAGTATAAAGCGCAGATATTCTACATTTCAGGGTGCATTCACACTTTCAGTTGGATTCTTTTGGTTTGTTTGGTTCGTATGTACTAACAAAAATAGAGAATTATTCATCTAGTCCTAATTTAGTCCTTTATATTTACTGTCACTTTTTAATACTTTCCCTAAGGGTTCAAAACTAAAAAAAAAACAAAAAAAAAAACAAAAAAAAAAAAAAAACATTTATGATGGATTTATAATGTTAAGCAGTCCAAAGACTTATGAAATGTTTATTGTTGCATCTCACAACATTATGCCCGGTTTTTGTTGGTTTAGATGTCTTTTTAGGCTTTTCGATCTGGAGTGTGTTTCCCAAACATAACAACATAATTTGTGGCTAAAATATGATAGCAAGATGCATCATTTGGGAAAAACGATGTAGGAAGGAGTGTTTCCCAAAACTTTGGCTGCTTTTTTACAGATCCATTGTTTGAGCCACGTTAGTTATAACGCAGAATGTCGGCAATGACACTCTAAACTGGGTGGAGTAACAACTTCTTTAGAAAAAAAAAAAAAACACATAATTTCTTTGTTCAAATTATATTGTTTTACACGCACAGGTGTAAAAAAAAATCCATTATTAGTTTTTAATAAAAACAGGCACTCGTTTTCCATATTAATTTTCCATATTAATTGAAATATATGTCACATTTAGGGCCTACGTTTCCTTTACAAATTTTATTGAGAATATTCCATATTCTATTATAAGCATAAACCCACTTAGTAACGCATATTTTAATCTCATATATAAATCATATAAATCATTAGGCTAATGGTTGTAATTCACAATAAGCAAAGTGTTAAGAAAAGAAAAAAATCCTACTTAATCATAGTAATAATAATAATTATTTTTATCATTAATTTATAATAATAATAATAATAATAATAATAATAATAATAATAATAATTATTATTATTATTAATACATAGAATATTGTTTATTTACTTTTTGACACATTTACACCACTGCAGAAATGTTCTAACCAAAAGGCCCATGTCATATAGGTCTACAGTACAGACACATTTCTTAATAAATAACCTACAATAAATTAAAAGCATTAACGTATGCTATATATTTTTTGTTTTCACAAGCTTTGGAGACGTAATATAAATTCTACTTTTAAATAATGGGTCATCTATAGCTTTCATCATTAGCCTTGGATGTGTTCAAAATGGCATATATCTTTTCAAAGGGCACTGCGAAGGGAATGCAATTGTCAAAATGAAGATCGCTTTAACTGAACTGTAAAAATACTTTCAAAGCAAGATGACTTCATGTTGGAACGTTCTAAATAAATAGGGCAAATAGGGGGATGACTGGGAATAGAACCCAACCAGGAACTATGCTTGTTACTACAGCTTTAGAGGTTGCAAGCGTACGAGTTTGCGAATGTTTGTTGGAACGACGGACTTGGGAAATGGTAAATCAAAAAACTATGTTTGTAACAACGCAACTTGTGACCTTAGTTGGTTAACAATGGTTTTCAGAAATGCACCCTTGGATGTTTGGTGCACCAAGGTTCAGATGCCAATCGATTGTTTTAACTGAACCAAACTTGCCAAGTGTGAACATACCCTTAATTATATACACTATTGTACAAACACTTTGGGGTTAGTATGTTTTTTAATCATTATTGTTTTATTAAGCAAGTGCGAACAACCCACAAAGCAATTTTATGTTTAATCTAATTCTTAGAAGTCTTTTAGATTTTCACTGACACCTCAAATTTAACTTTGTTAAATTTGAGGTGTCAGTGAAAATCTAAAAGATGTCTAAGAATTGCCCAAAAATAGACTAGACATCAAATAGACATGAATGAATGACAGAAAGTCTGTCTGATCTGTTTATTTGATTTGGCCAATCTGTCTATGTTTAGATCACTTAAACACTAAAATACTTGCTGTGTAAATAGGTTAAAAGTGACTGTCAACATGAAATGTTTCACAAAAAGCTATTTTAAATAAATGGTATTCTTATGAACTATTTTAATCAAATTTAAATGAAAGAATCCTGAATTATATCAAGGATTAAAAAAAAGGTAACACCACAACTGTTTTTAAAGCATTAAATCATCTGATTAGAATGCTATCTGAAGGATAATGGTACACTGAAGACTGGAGTAATACTATTCAAAATTCAGCTTTGGCATCACATAAACAAATTAGTTTCATTATAAAACAGAAACACATTTAAATTATAAGTCTAAAAAACATAGCAAATCTTACTGACCCCAAACCTCTGAATGTTAATGTAAAACTACAACATCAGCAGTACTGATAAAAACAACAACAAAACTTTCATTTTAAATTAATTTTACTCCTAAAATATGGGTGCAATTAATTATTGTTGTTTTAATAATGCATAAACGACTGCTAAATAAGCTAGCTAGGCAGCTGACTAGAATTTGAGACAGAGCCAAACAAATAGGGCTGTTGTACCAATTAGTAAATAAGAAATGTCTGGGTTCAATTGTTTAATTTCACACTTTGTGCATCTAAAATAATCTGAAATGGAACCAAAGGCTTGAACAAATGTCAAACGGCAACAGCTGATTTTCCAGATGGGCCATCAGAAAGAACTGAACCACTCAACAACACTGAATGACTGCAACATAATGCACAATCACAATAGCAATAGCTGAGCACAGGGTAATAATTTCATGTTCTATGCCACACAGTTTGACGTCACACCTATTTTACAGCTGATTTATGAAAGCTCATAGCAGAAAACCAAGTGATGGAGTGGAATGACCACTTGGCGTTATGAATAGCCCAGATGGGAACAAAAGATCAAACAACATAAAACCTTTCTGTTAGATTAGCTCATTATTATTGAGTTCATGAATGACTTGTTAAGACCTAAAAGTTTTTTTTTCCCTTTATTCACTGAGTCTACAGCAGTGGTTTTCAACCTTTTTGATTCAAAGGCTCGAAAAAAAGTATGTTCTGTTATAACTGTGACAAAGTAGCTTGTTTTAATCCTTTTGTTATAAACAGTTGAATAATATGTTTCAGAGTTTCTGATTAAATGGTACTGATTGAATAATAAAATATCTGGCAGCACTTAATAAAAAGGTCTTAGTTGTTCACCTTAGTTAAGGCATTATGCAGTATGAAGTAATAATGTCATTTCCTAGCAATTATGCCTTTTTGCTATAAAAATAAAGTAATAAAAATGTCCATCTTAGCTTAGTGCAGCAACTAATGTTAACAGTTACAACAAGTTTTGGAATTAACATTACAATTAAAAAATTGTTGGTAGAATATTTTTTTGTTGTTGTTAGATTATTTCTATTATTGTATTTATTGTCACAAAGTTATTTTTTATGTATTATTTTTAATTGTATATGGCATTATGTAAGATTATTCATTATTACTATAGTTTAGTATTTCTAATTTAGCTCACATTTTGTTATGTTAAACAATATATTTGACTAGACATTTTTTTGAAATTTATTTTTAGTTTTTAAATATTGTTGTAGCATATTTCATCCATAATAGTTTATTATTGTTGCCATGTTTGTGATGCACTTTGGTCAACATTCATGTTGTTTTAAGGTGCTATAAATACAGTTGACCTCAAACTTGAATAAGAAATTGTAATAAATCTTAAAAAATAACAAATACAATTAAAGAATTAGTTGATGGTAAATAACTTTAATAAATTAAGTTAATACTATTTATATTTACATCAAAAAAGTAAAATTAAAGTTATATTAATAAATTACACCTTTTTGTAAAGCATAATTATATTATATTATATTATATTATATTATATTATATTATATTATATTATATTATATTATATTATATTATATTATATTATATTATATTATATTCAAGCAATAGTATTTTGTAATACATAGATTTGAAAATAAGGGAAAGAAGATGTAGAATTTTTCATTATTTATGTTATTATGATTATATAAGAAATACATTTTGGTTTAAATCTTAAGTATATTCAGCATTTTCATTTAGATACGGGTTTAATTATTTTAATATTGTCAACTGTTAATCTTGAATTTTTTAAATATTTGACTTTGTTGAGGACCCCTAGTTGGCCCTGGCCCCTGGTTAAGAACCACTGGTCTACAGGACTAATATTTTATATAGTCCTAGCAGGAATTATGGTAAAAAAGGCAGCATATCTGTAACTGATAAGGTCATGTACAATGTATATTTTACATCAAAACATATGTTATTTGCTGGATAGTTAAAAAAATAAGCATCAATTTCATTTTATCTCTAATTCTTAACATGTTTTTAAAAACAATAAAATAGAACATTTTAAATGTAAGCTCTAATTTGAATTAAAAAGTAGACATTAATATTTGCACCCTTGGTAAAAATGAACAAAGTAGGCTGTGAACAAAATGTCTTTCTTGTTTAACCATGTCATTTTCTTAAAGCCATTTCCCGATTTGTAAAGCCCAACAGTTTTTTTTTTTTTTTTTTTTTTTTTGTTGTTGCTGGAAATCATAACTTGACCTTTGTGTTTCTTGTAAAACAAGTGGAGCAATTTAGTATTCCTGGACTGGTCACCCAGTTGGAAAATACTTCAAAAAAATTTAGCTCATATTAATTCAGAGTTATCAATGAGAGAGCTTTGCTTTTTGTTAATATTTTGAGCCAAAGATCAGAAGGTTAAACATCAAAGATATTTTCTTCACAGCCTTCACTGCTCATTTTTTACCAAGGGTGCCCATATTAGTATCAACAAAACTGCACTACATCCAGAATCAGAAAATGTCAACAAGTCATTAAAAACCCAGTTTTTATAACAAGACAGAGATCTTAAGTGCTGTGTGTGCGCAGCGAGAGGCTGACAGCTGTGTGCATGTGTTTGTGTGTGTGTGTATTCTCACCAGTGCCCGGCTCACACTCCTCCAGATCCTCATCATCACTGGGACACTCAGCTGAGGCCACCAGCAGGTCATCCGAGTTCTGCAGGAGGAAAAAAAAAACATACAACACACACTTCATACGTGACACTTTATAATGGGAGATATTGGAAAATAGTAGTGTTAGCCTGTTAGCATGGAAAGCATATCTCCTTCCAGCAAATCGGCATCCTCTTGAACACATTAATACACACTATACAACATCATTACAATACATCACGAAACATTCACCAGAGAGAAAACTTTATAGTAAAAGTTAGTAATTAATGCTTCAAGAAAAGGTAGGTTGTTGATGTTTGCTAGCCATTTTCTGTCTGAACCGCATTTGTACAAGCAGCATTAATCAAGCAGCATTAATCTAATCTAACATATTTTGACTAACAAGTAGGACAGCCTTTCATAATGCTCTGACCGAATGTTTTGATTGGACAAATTTTTCCTGATCTTACGCCTGCCACAAAATACTATCCCAGCAAGCACACAGCATAAGACGTTAATATTAGCTTAGATTTAGGTCTTGCAAGCATCTAAGGACAATGTTATTTTGATGTCCAAAAACGGCGTCAAATGATGTTGATATTTGGTTGATATTAGGTTGTGTTGAAAAGTGTCCAAAATCGAACGTCAAGCCAATATATTAAACCAACATCATATTTACATCAAATATTGACAATCATTCATCAGGTATGGCAACCAAAATCCAACATCTGATAAACGCCATAGTGGTAACATCCACACAACGTCAAGTAACATCATTAGCGGTTGATATTTGGTTGTGTTGGAAAGTGACCAAAATCCAACATCAGCATTGTAGACTGACATCGGTCTGATGATCATCAGATATCAACTCGATTTTCATTTCCACCCAAAATTCAACGTTCCTTAACTTTGGGATACAACATCAATCTGATATCATGTTGATGCCCTGTGCCTGCTGGGATAATACACATAAATACATCTGAGCCACTTAATTGAATGATTGCTCTCAGAATGTGAAGAGCTTTTCAACAAGCATAATAAAACAGTCTTTTCCAGATAAAGGAAAAGTTCCTTTCATTATTCACAATCACCATTTCCTCACGCTCTAGTGTTTTTAAATCTGTTCTGTTGGACAGAAAACATGATATTTTAAAGAATGTTTGAAGCCACTAAAATACTAGAAACTCAAACAAGCTTGAAACAACTGGAGGGTAAGTAAATCATGAGAGAATTTTAATTTTTGGGTGATCTATCACTTTAATCTCTTTTTTCTGCAACCTTGAAATGCAATCTGAAGTTGTGCTGGTTATCTTATCTGGCTGCTTTCCTTTTAAGCCTGTGCTTTTCTTTGTCCCAAGAATTTATATATATAAAAAAGCTAATAGACTTTTCAGCTTTGTTCATGCTGAAACTTTTTAAAAACTTTGTATTATTGTTTTGTTTGACTTTTCAAATGTAATTTTACCCCTGAATACCCAGATTTTTATAATAAATATGTCTTATGGACATATGAATGATTAAAAATGATGCGTTTACAACAAAGACCGGACTAATAAAAGAATTTCAGGGTTTATCATATGATTTATAGAAATTATAAAATTACAATTAATGTTAATTTCACTGTAATAATCCGTTTTACACTTAAAAGGTTTTCGTTATTTCATTAAATGTCTACATATTTTATTGCATGCTATTTCTAGCAAATAAAAAAATACATGACAAATTGAAAATATATAATATTAAAAAAATATATATAAATAACACAATATATATATAATTACAGAAGGAAACATAAAATGACAAAAACATTAAGCTTGAAGGCCTAACAGTTCATTTTGCCTCCTAAAAATACCAGAAAATACATTTTACTGTTGTTGTTATTGTCATTATTATTGTTATATTATTATTATTATTATTACACTTTTTAGCATACTTGCTTACAATAAAATATGTGAAAACATTTAGTGTGTTTTTAATTTGAAGCAATCAGTTTTCCCCAAATACAGTCGTTTATGTTTTACAGGGATTAAACATTGTCAGTGAAGAACAAAAATAAAATCCTGAATTATGAAACTATCCTCAGCAAGCCAAACACGAGTGAATGAAGTTGTATACTTCATTCACCTGTACTTGCTTTCTGTTTCTGTGAATTGAATGCCTGATTTAAATTATTTTTAAAAAGCCATTTCCAGTCTTTTTATGTAAAATAATTATGTATTTATTGCGCATATTTGACACACATAAAATGCTAGCTAAGAGAAGAGCCTTAGCAAGCCTAAAAAAACCATTTGATCTCAGAAATGTTTCAAATGTCATTTCCACCACATCCACGGTGAACAAGATGACATTTTAAAACCCTTTTATGAAAAGACACTTCTCAGAATTGTTTAATTTCAGCCTACAAGAAGCCCACAGCTTTGAAGAAACAGTCACTGGTTTGCTGAGGCATTTGTTCAACTCTTACCATGCAATGGTGTTAAACCAAAAATGGCTTTGCTGCCCCTTGGTTTGACCTGAGTTTGAATTAACATTCCCTACTCATACCTCGCATTCATAAAACATGTAATTGGATGTGGGCCATGACTGATTTGGACGCTTCAGTTTGTCCTTTCCCATCGAGAGGTCAGAACAATTTCGCATGAGCATATTTATCTGTTTGCGGGGCTGGGAAGCATCGACTGCGAGTGCTGGTATATGGAGGTATTTATTGAGGCTGACACTGGTATTTGCATTCATGCGCTCTGTTTTAATATCAACAAAACAATACACACGGCTAGGGAATACTTTACAAATGAAAACATTCAGAGCAAGCATCATGAGAGTTAATGCAATAAGCTCATGTCTGTGGACTCCATGATGCAGCAGAGATAATACATTTTTTTACTCTGTAATAGATTCCAGCCTAATATATGCAGATGCACACCACATATACATTTAAATACTGATTATTTTGACCATGATTTATGTCTATATGGTAATTAGATTTGCCTGCAGACAGTCTTAAAGGGATAATTCACGCAAAAATGAAAGTCATCTGCAATTTACTCACCTATAGGCCATCTAAGATAACATTTTTTGCTGTAACTGTAAAGTTAATTAATGAATTCTTCTGTGATCATAAATTAATTGATGTTTATGAAGTAGTTAGACAAACAAGATGTAAGCACCTGTTTTTGAAACAATCTTTTCTGATTTTGCTCAGATTTACTGACATATATATTTCCAAACTAAGCAAGAGCATAATGTTTGCAAGTCTCAAAGTAACAATGTGGTGTTTTCTTTCCGAATGAATATACAGTATTTTGAATGAATGTTTTCACTGAGTTTACTGATTTATTCATTAAGGCAGATATTAAGGACTGCCATTTGAAAGTGGAAGCAAGTAGTCGGATTTTTATTAAATAAAACAAATATTTTTATTTCAATGAATTAATTTACATGAATTAATTGTTCACATTAAGACTAACAATGTGTGCTAGCAAAACTGTTGTGAATTTTGATTTCATATGGATTTTAGGGGTTCTGTTTTAGCTATCTAAGCTCAAAGTCTGAAGAGCATGGCGCAAAAGCATTAAGGGCATTTCTGAATCCACTTTTGCTAATTTACGGAAGGAAAAATACAGTTTGCGCCATGGTGCATAGTCTAACAGGGTTGTGCCTATTCCCTTAATGAGTGTTTTAAGCAAAACTTGCATTAAACCAAACAGTCTCATCTCCCATTTCCATTACGAGCCTGTTGTGTCGCACCATGGCACATTTGCTATTTACCAGGCGGACTTTGTGAGTATAAAAACTGAACACTTCACTAACGAGAAAACAGTTAAACAGACCGTCTGCAGCACGAGGATAAAAAACAAGCCTCCTACATTCGGCATCTTTACTTTCTCGTTCTCTTTACTTTTACCCTTTACTTTATTCTTTTAATTTTGTGGATAAGGAAATGGTTTTGTGCGAACATTACTAAAGACATCCATTAGCCTACAAACTTTAATTTAATTTGTTAAGCACAAAGATTTGATTCAAAACTATTTTTAAATTCAGTTCTAATTTGTAGCAAACGAATAAATGTACAGTAACACAAAGTGTGGTCAAAAAACGGATTTATATCCAAACACACGTCCTATTCTTATGCCCCATATGATAATGAATCTGTCTTCGAAACCTCACTGATGGACGAATTTAAACTTGTTTTTATTAAAACAAATATAAATATGCATTAAATAAATACTTCTACTACTACTAATAACATTATATAAATGCAAATTGTCATGAATAAACTCAAAAAAAAAAACCCCGAGATGAGGCATAGAGACAGTGGTTTTTATATTTATGTAGAAAGTAATAATTTTTGTAATATTTTTTGTAATATTTTATTTTTGACTTTAGACCAGTGCAAGTTGCTTTTAGTTAGTCAATAGTGTTGTCCATTTTAGATTCTCAACAATGTGCCTTAACACACCTTTTTTTTAGATCGGCACACCAATTAGTCCACAAAATGGAGCAAATGGATTTGCTATTTGAACAACGTGGTGCAAAACATAAAAATTAGGGATGTGCTGGTCTGAAAATAGCAAAAAATCATGCCAAACATGTTTTGTGCCTTATTGTGCCGGGTGTATGACAGGGCCCTAGGTCAGAAACTTGTTCACCTACAGGTGGTTTCACTATCATATTTATTCATTCATGATAGGTTTTATAAGCTTGTTCTAACATTTGAACTAAAGAATGTTTTAAATAAAGAAATTTTAAGTAGTTTCTAAAAAAACCTTAGAAAATTGCAATGTAGTGTGCAATAATAATAATGACTTTTGCAGACGTGCAATACTTTCAATTTTGAAAATTATTATTTTTGGCCATTTCTCAAACAATATGGGTAATATATTTTGGTGCATTTGAACAAAAAAGATTTATCAAAGAGATCTATTTATTAAAATAATATTTTAGCCTTCACACATTTTTAGAAATAGAAAGATAATACAATTAAATTTATGTAAAAGTTTAAAGAAAACAAAAATTACAATCTACAAAATTTCACCAAATTGAAAAGTTTGTTTCTTTTAAATTTTGT